CAAATTAAAAAAGCCAACTAAGTCAATCAATAAAAGCAAAAGCTATCTGAAGAGTAATAATAGGCAATCTTTTAGCAAATATAAAGAAAAAAGGAAAAAATTAAATATTGAAAACAAAGATGATATAACCACAAATACAAGGAAGATATTTCTAAAATTATAAATCACCATGTATAATTTATATCAATAAATCCGAAAACTACAAAAATATAATTTACCAACATTGGTCTAAATGGAAGAAACATTTAAATAAACCAGTAATGACGAAGAAAATGAAAAGAGTAGTCAAAAACTCTACCCCCTCTTCCAAAAGACCAGTTCCAGAGATTCACTGTTTTACTTTTAACTTATCAAAAATCCACAATTATCAAAAATTATCAAAAATCCACAAGTTTGGCAATGTATGTCTGTTGGGGAAGCTGTGGGAAACAAAGTGAAAGAAGAGTAAAAGACCAGAAGAGAATATTTACTATGTAGATAATAAAAAAATGTATTTATACATCAAGATAAATAAAACATAGATGGAAATTCACATTTAATAAATTATGAAAAAACACATTTAAAAACACCTCCAATTTACAGATTTATGACAATCTCAAGCAAGATATATACATGTTTGTTTTTTTGAGATGGGGTCTTGCTTTGTTGCCCAGGCTGGAGTGCAGTGGTGTGATCTTTGCTCACTGCAACCTCTGCCTCCCTGGTTCAAGCAATTCTTCTGCCTCAGTCTCCCGAGTAGCTAGGACTACAGGCGCGCACCCCCATGCCCAGATAACTTTTGTATTTTTAGTAGAGACAGAGTTTCACCATATTGGCCAGGCTGGTCTCGAACTCTTGACCTCGTGATCCGCCTGCCTCGGCCTCCCAAAGTTCTGGGATTACAGGCGTGAGCCACAGCTCCTGGCTGATACATACATGTTAACAGCAAAACAGCAAAAAGCTAAAGACCAAAACAAACAACAAAAGAACCCCCAAGGCAGTCAGAACAAAATGAATTGATAAGACAGATAGGTGACTTTTCAAGAGCAATAATGAAAGCCAAAAGACAGAAGAATAAGAGCTTCATCATGCTGAAAGAAAACAATTGCCAACTTTTGTATTCAGCAAAAACATCGTTCAAGAATAGCTGCAAAATAAAGACATTTTCAGGTGAACAAAAACTGAGTGTTCATCATCAACAGATCTTCAATAAAAGCCATTCCAAAGGTTGTACTTTTTAAAGGAGACAGGGTCTTGCTCTGTCACCCAGGATGGAGTGCAGTGGCACGATCATGGCTCACTGCAGTATCAACCTCCTGGGCTCAAGCAATCCTCCCACCTCAGCCTCCCAAGTAGCTGGGACCACAGGTGTGTGCTACCACGCTCAGCTAATTTTTTTTGTTTTTGTTGTTGTTTTTTTTTGTAAAGATGGGGTCCCATCATGTTGCCCAGGCTGGTCTCAAACCTGGCTCAAGCAATCCTCCCAGCTCGACTTCCCAAAGTGCGAGGATCACAGGCATGAGCCCACACACCCAATCAATTTTCTGAAATTATATAATGAAATGTGTCATCATGTGAAAGAGCTGCATAATTCAGTGAACCAATATTTTCCAAGTGACCCATGTGTAGGTAAAAGAGCCCTTGAAAGTGCAAGGCAGGCCACTGGATTTTAATGTTAGAGCATGAGAAGTTCATTCATATGATTTCCAATTCTACACTGCAGCTAACGTTTAACAAATGGTTAGGGGCTGGATGTTATAGTCCCAGTGCTTTGGGAGGCTGAGGCAGGACTGCTAGAGGCCAGCAGTTCAAGACTAGCTTGGGCAACATAGCAAGACTCCATCTCTACAAAAAAAAAAAAAAATTAAAAATTAGCTGGGCCTGGTAGTGTGTGCCTGTAGTCCTAGTTACTCAGGAGGCTGAGGCAGGATTGTCTGAGCCCAGGAATTGGAGGCTGTAGTGAGCGACGATCACATCACTGCACTCTAGCCTGGACAACAGAGCAAGACACTGTCCTAAAAAACAAAACAGAAACAAAAACACAAAACTGTTAGGTTTTGATAAGTATCAAAAAAGAACATAATCATCTGAAAAGATTAAAATATTTGTCTCTTTACTCAGCTGAATGAGGCTGGATTTTCTTCATGTACTTCAACTAAAATAATACATGGCAACACAATGAATACAAAAGCAGATGAGGCTCTAGTCATTAAAGGCGACATTCAGCATATTTTCAAAAATGTACAAAAATCCCATTCTTATCACTAATTTTGGGGGGATAAAATATGTTAAGATGTAATGCGTTATTACATTTAAAGGTATCAATAAATAAACATACATTTCAAGTTGATCAGTTTTAATATCTAATATGGTAATTATCAATTGATATAATCCAATAAACAAAAGATCTTTGGGATCTTCAGTGGTTTTCTGAGACGGAGTCTCACTCTTTCAAGCAGTAGAGTGGCACGGCCTTGGCTCACTGCAACCTGTCTCCCAGGTTCAAGTGATTTTCTTGTCTCAGCCTCCCGAGTAGCTGGGACTACTGGCACCTGCCACCACCACGTCCAGCTAATTTTTGTATTTTTAGGAGAGATGGTGTTTCACCATGTTGGCCTGGCTGGTCTCTAACTCCTGACCTCAAGTGATCCGCCTGCCTTGGCCTCCCAAAGTGCTGGGATTACACTTGTGAGCCACCGTGCCTGGCCCCCTCAGTGGTTCTTAAAAGTGTAAAGAGGTCCTGGGAATAAAGTTTCTAAATTGCTAAACTATAGGCACGTGCTTTAACATGAGTGAATCTCAGAAACACAATGCTTAACAAAAGTAACTCATAGAATACAGAACATGACTTTATTTAACTAAAGTTCAAAAACAGGTAAGAGTAAACAATGATAGTTAAGGATACCTATATAGGTGATAAAACCGTTTAAAAAGGCAAGGGAATAATTAACACAAAATTAATAACGGCCATTGTAATGGGGGGCAGGGAACGCATTCCTCCTGGGGTAGAAACACACAAAAGGTTTCTAAACTAACTAAAGTTTCTAAAGCTTTTAAATTAAGCCTTTATTGATTTTTGTTATGAAAGATGCCATTAATATGTACTGACAAAAAAGCATATTTATTACAGATACACTTTGTCAGTACATATTAACGGCGTATTTCACAATAAAAATGTTTAAAGAAGAAAAAGGGAGATGTATATACTCTCCTAGAAGTAAAACCTCAAACGAATGTCTCTTCAAATTATAAATTCAACACCATCACAAACAATATCCCAAGATTTTCTATAGGACTTAAAAAGATAGTTCTAATTTCTTCTGGAAGAAAAAAATGCAAAAAAAAAAAAAAAAAACCCAAAGCTCTTTTTCAAAAGAAAGTACCAAAATATATTATAAAACTATGATAATTAAATTCTATGGCAACAGTTACATGGGCGAAAGAAAAGAGAGCTCAGACCCAATAAAAACATCAGCAAATGATATGACCTGGCTAAAAAGACTTAACTTTTCTATTCGCCAAGGAGGATAAAAATTAAAACGGAATGCTACTTACAATTACTAGGTGGCTAAGATATTTTAAAAATACCATTATCATCCAGTGCTGGCTAGCATGGAATAAAAACACATCTTTTGAGCGAGTGAACACAAAAAGGTACAATCATTTCAGGGCAATTTAGCAACATTATTATCCAGCACTGGCATAAAGAATCAATTCTACAGAAATACTATCAGGACCACCTGAAGCACTGTCTATAACGGCAAGAGATAATCACTGCAGTATTGTCAGTTATAGGGATATCTTGAAAATAACTTGAATGCCTACCAATAGAAGAAGATTCACTTGATAAATACATGCCATATCGATCTATTTTTACTAAATAGATATTATACTGTATTTAACAAACACCATGTCTCCGTCAAGTTCTTAGGCACTTCACCGATTTTAACAACTATGTTTGGACCACAGGAGATGCTTATAATCTCCCTTTAAAGAAAATTAGTTACATTTGGGCAAATGTTCTGTATACACAAAATTTCGAATATACCGTCTTTGTCTTCCTTAAAGTAATTGTGGACCTTCTGTCACCCTTTTTCTGGCCTGGCTTAGTTATTTATTGATGTACAGTACTGGACATACTGCATACAGCCAGCCATTCCTATAAGGCAGTTTTTCAACACAAGGGTATTCTTGCCCCGTTAGGGGACACTGCTTTGTTATAAACCTCCTAGGCAGGATTACCGCCAGGCTCACCCCTAGTTTTATTCAGGGAACACCGTGGACTCTCGGATCGCGGAAGCTATTCCAATAATAGCATACACTTGTATGCCACATATTTAAGTTTTGGATCCACTTTCATAAACTTTACTATTCTAATTTTACCTTACAGGGAGAATAAGGAAGAGAAAGCGATTAAGAGAAACTTGAGAATTCCCAAAGTAATCTTCCTTAAAATTTCAGAGGCATCAACCCAGTTCTCCCACGAAACGCTGCTTGGCGCCGCCTTCAGACAAACTTCTGGGTTGCTCGGACCAAGCTATCCTAACGCTCATGCACGGCTGGGGTTTGCTGCTAAAATGACCCTCCCTGCGGAGAGACCTGTTTTACCCTCTAAAGAAAAAGTGGCGCATTGCCATGAAGAACCCGCAGGAAATGATTTCCCAGCCGGTGCAAACCCGAAGACGGAAACTTCAGCCAAGAACTTATCATCATATCCCTGAGGACGAAGCTGTCCCCTGACAGCCGACGCAAACGAAACGCCTCAAAAAGGGGCAAGATGACAGGGTTACGATCTCTCTGCCGCCGACACCGAGCGCGGCCACAAGTTGTAGCGCAGGACAGAAGGTCGAGTCATCTAGAAGGCGCCGACCCCTCCCACCCCCTCACCTGGAGCGCCGCAAAAGATGAGGAGAACCGCCGACCCTCGCAGCCAAGCCCCGGCAGCTGCCCGAGCGCTCAGCCTCGGAGACCGCCGTCCTCCTCGCAGGGTTCCCGGGCGCCCAGGCCGGGGAGGGACTTACCCGTGCTTGGCTTGGCCGCCGCCCCCGAGGACCTGAGATCCCGGCTCGGCCTCCTTCCCATGCTTCTCCTGGCCGTGCTCTGCGTCCTCCCCGGCCCTCGCGACACCTGCGCACGTGGGAAGCACCAGTCGCCGGCTCCGCGCTCCCGCAGGGAGCCCCCTCAGGGACACGCCGTCCGCCCCGGCCCCGGGGTCCTCGCCGCGGGCGCTGACAGGGACGCCACGCCTGTCCGCGCTCTGTCTCCAGTCAGGGTCTCAGGCGAGAGGCAACCCCGGGACGCCTGGCAGCCTGCGAGAACATGTCGACTTTCTCGCTGACCGGCGCTAGCCACCGGAAGTAAAACCTCGCGGCCAAAGGAAAAGAAAAGGGGAGAGGGGGCAAAAAAAGAAAGTGAAAACTGAAGTGAGGCGTCCCCCTCAGAGATGGGAACCAATCGCCTGGAAGAAACCAAGGCGCAGGCGCGGACCGAGGTCAGCGTCCACGCGGCGCTCGCGTCTCCCCTCTGCGCAGGCGTGAGGCCACAGCTCGCTCCTGATTGGGCCCTGATCCCTGCGAACGCGTGGCGTCTCGCGATGGCGACCCCTAACCGGATGCGGAAGATGCCCTTGGGAAGAGGCGGGAGAGGACCTCTGGGCTGACCTAGTGTGCTCTGGCAATGGTCCACGTGGTCGCCTTCGGACGCCTTCGCCCTTGTCTGCGTTTCCGTCTGTTGCTGCTGCTGCTGCTGCAAGAACAGTTGATTTGTCTGGCCCAAATGCAGCATTTCCGAAATCTTGCCCTTGTTTTAATCCATACAGCGGGCGTGGCTATTACCCCTAGGAAAACACCTCTAGAAATTTATAACACATGCACAGAGAGAGCTACGGTAACCATAAATAAAGTGACCATCAATAAATTCAAGTTTATTATCCTTGCCCATGATAAATAGTCATGCAGACATTGCTTAACTGTAGGGACACCTTATGAGAGAGATGCCTCATTAGGCAATTTTGTCCTTGAGTGAACATCATAGAAACCTAGAAGCATAACCTACTACATACTTACACTATAAGCCATAGCTCATTACTCCTGGCTACAAACCCATGCTATATGTTATTGTACTGAATACTGTAGAAATTATAACACAATGGTAAGTATTTGTATAAGCATATCTAGACATAGAAAAAGTACAATAGAAATACAGTATAAAAGATAACGGTACGCCTGTGTAAGGCATTCTCACGAATGGAGCTTGCAGTACTGGGAGTTGCTCTGGGTGAGTCTGTGAGTGGACAATGAGAATGTAAAGGTCTGGGACATCACTGTACACTCTTGTAGACTTCATAAACTCTGTATACCCAAGCTACACTGAATTTACTTTTTAAAATTCTTTCATAATTAACCTTAGCTTACTGTAACTTTTTAACTTTTTAAAACATTTAAAAAACTTTTTAAGACTCTTTTGTAATGAGACTTAGCTTAAACACATTGTACAGCTGCACACAAATATTTTCTTTGTATCCTTAATCTGTAAGTTTTTTCTCTGTTTTTTTAATTTTTAATTTACTTTTTAAACTTTTTTGTTAAAAACTAAGACACAAACACACATTAGCCTAGGCCTACACAGCATCTGGATCGTCGATATCATTGTCTTCACCTCCATTTTGTCCCACTGGAGGGTCTTCAAGGGCAACTACGTGCATGGAGCTGTCATCTTTTATGATAACAATGCCTTCTTCTGGATACTTCTTGAAGAACCTGCCTGAGGTTGTTTTACAATTGACTTTTTTTTTTTTAAATAGTACATTCTAAACGATAAAAGTATAGTAAATAAATAAGCCAGTAACATAGTCTGTGATCATGATCAAGTATTATGCACTGTACATAACTGTGTATGCTATACTTTTTTTTTTTTTTTTTGGAGACTCAGTCTCACTCTGTCACCCAGGCTGGAGTTTGGTGGCATGATCTCAGTTCACTGCAACCTCCACCTCCCAGGTTCAAGCGATTTTTCTGCCTCAGCCTCCCAAGTAGCTGGGATTATAGGTACCCACCACCACACCCAGCTAATTTTTGTATTTTTAGTAGAGACAAGGTTTTGACATGTTGACTAGGCTGGTCTTAACTCTTGACCTCAGGTGATCTGCCCACCTTGGCCTCCCAAAGTGCTGGGATTATAGTGTGAACCACTGCGCCTGGCCATGTGTGCTGTACTTTTATGTGACTGGCAGTGCAGCAGATTCATTTACACCAGCATCACCACAAACACATGAGTAATGTGTTGTTGTATGAAAATAAGATGGCTACAACATCACTAGGCAATAGAACTTTTCAGCTCTATTATAATCATATAACTGTTGGATATGTGGTCTGTTGTTAACTGAAACATTAAGTGACTGTACCAATGAGAGAGATTAAGTGCTAATGAACATGTATCATGAGTCAAGCACTGTTCTGGTAATACCAAGAGATTCAGTCATTGTGTTTACTGTTTACCGTAACCAGGTGCTGTAATAGACACTGGTTTTACAATCATGAACAAGCTAGATAAGGACCCTGCCTATAATGGAATTTATTCCAGAGGTGAGTGACAAACACAGGTAAATCACCACCACAACAAAATAGAATTTCAGATAACAATAAATGCCGTGAAAACTCACTGGAAATGCTAGTGGATGGGACTGGGGGCTGGAGGCCAAGGACAGAAGCAGTAGAACTACAAGATCTTACTGAAATGGGCACATTTGAGGTAAAACCCTAAAGATCAAAACTGATAGAACCAAAGCCTGGAATACATGGAGGAAGAGCTTTCCAGGCAGAAGGAAAAGCAAGTGCAAAGGACTTGAAAAGTGAAATCAAACCTATTCAAGAACAGAAGAAGGCTGACTGTGGAAGTAGGGAGTGAAATATAACTATTTTAATAGTGTACAAAACCAGAATATACAACTCCATGATTTATCACAAGGCAAATATTCATGAAACCAACACCTCCATCAAGAAATAGAACATTGCCAGTACCCCACCCCTCTTCCTTAGCCTAAGCACTATTCTGACTTCCATGGTAATCTCTTCTTTGCTTTTAAAAGTAAGTTTACCAACTAAATAGGCACCCTGAAACTTTATCATTTCGTTTGCTTGTGGTTTGAACTGTATATAAAGTGAATGATTTTGTGCCTGCTTGTGAGACTCACTATGTTTTTGGGTGTACTTGTTCTTTCGTTTTCATTGCTGTATATGTAGGCATGAATGTAACACATTTGCTTTACCCATTGTATTACTGATGGACATTTGGGCTGTGTCCAGTTCTTGGCTATTATAAATAATACTTTTGTGATCATTCTCATTTATATCTCTTGGTGTACATGGGCACTCATTTCTGTTGGATGAAAACCTAGGATTGGGATTTTGGAATGCTAGACATGATCATTTGGATTTTTGTTTCTGCAAATATTTATGCCCTTATTCCCCACAGTTGGCCAAGTTTCCTTCTCTACTTCATTGATGTTGGGCTTGGTCTAAGTGAGGTCTTTTGGCTGATAGAATATTAGCAGACATGATGCAGCAGGATTCTTAAGTGTGCTCATGCTATTTGAGTTGGCTCTTGTGCTCAGGTGATTCATATGGGGAGAAAATATCTCAGGTAGCCATTGTCTCCTCAGCCTGAGTCTCCAGAACAAACCTATGTGGAATAGATGTGACACCAACCCACAGTCTAACACACTTTGGATTAGCAGAGCCTTAGACATCCTGAAGATCAAGGAGTCTGAGAGTTAATGCTGTTATCACAAGCTAGCCGACTTTGGGGTGATTTATTATAGGGCATTATGGTGGCAATAACAAGGGCATATGTTCAACTTTAGCAGATAATTTCAAACTTTTTGCAAGCTGGTTTTACTAAGTTACACAGTTCCACAAAGATAATTCTAGTTTGTCTACCTCCTTGCCAACACTTTTGAATTGTAGCCGCTCTGAAGGGTGTGTCATGGTTTGAATTTGCATAGTATCCAATGTTTTTCTTTTTCAAGTGTGTTTTGGCTATTCTAAGTCTTTTGTTTTCTTTTCTTTTTTTTTGAGACGGAATGTCACTCTTGTTGCCCGGCCTAGAGTGCAGTGATGCAAGCTTGGCTCACTACAACCTCCGCCCCCCTAACCCCCAACCCCCTATTCAAGCAATTCTCCTGCTTCAGCCTCCCTAGTAACTGGGATTACAGGCATCTGCCACCACACCTGGCTAATTTTTTACATTTTTAGTAGAGATGGGGTTTCACCATTTTGGCCAGGCTGGTCTCAAACTCCTGACCTCAGGTGATCCATCCGCCTCTGCCTCCCAAAGTGCTGGGATTACAGGCATGAGCCACTGCACCCGGCCCGTCTATTCTAAGTCTTTTAAATTTCTGTATACATTTTAGAACCAGCTTATTTTCTACCACAAAAACAACCTGTTGGGATTTTGGTTGGGATTGTGTTGAATGTACATATCTATCTGGGGGAGAATTAACATCTTATTAATTGTCAAATTCTACTTATTCAGGTCTTTAAAGACTTCCTTCAGCAATATTTATAGTTTTCAGTGTACAGCTCTTGTACGTATTTTGTCATATTTATCTCTTTGTTTTTGATGTTATTCTAAATAAAATTTTTGCAATAATTTGTTACTAGTATGTAGAAATAAAATTGATATTTCCATATTAACTTTATATCTTGTAGCTTGTTAAAATCACTTATTATATCCGGTAGCTATTTGTTTGCACATGTGTGCATTCTTTGTGCTTTTCTAGGACACTCTCTGCACATAAAAATAGTTTTACTTCATTGTTTCCAATTTGTATTTCTTTCCTCCTTATTGCATTGTTTAAGGCCATTAATGTAATGTTCAGTATAAGGAGTGAGATAAAATATCCTTCACTTAAAAAAATCCTTGTCTTGTCTCTCATCTTAGTGCAAAACCATTTAGTTTGTAACCATTAAGCATAATGTTAGCTTTGGTGTTTTGTACCCTTTTTTAGATTTATGAATTTCCCTTCTGTCCTACTTTTTGAAAGTTTTTCTCATAAATGGGTGTTGAATTTGGTCAGATACTTTTCTGCATCTATTGAGATGATTATATAGTTTTTCTTTTTTGATCTATTAATATGGTAAATTATATCAACTGATTTTTCAAATGTTAAATCAATAGTGAATTCCTGAGATAAACCCAATTTATTCTAGATTCATTATCCTTTTCATATATTACTGGATATGAATTGCTGATATTTTGTTAAGGATTCTGGCATTTGTATTCATAAGAGATATTGGTCTATGTTTTTGTTTTATTGTGAGGTCTTCAGTTTGGGTATGAAGGTAACTCTGGCCTCATCCAATGAGTGGGGAAGTTTTCTTTCCTCTCTTAATTTTTGAAATACTTTGATTTAAATTGGCAGTATTTCTTTCATCAATGTTT